TTTGGAATTTCGCGCGACCTTCGTGCCACTAATGATGAAAAAAGAAAGTATGACCGAGAAGGATTGAGACTTAAACACTCTGTATAGGCTGAAAAGTGGTATTTTCTTGTTAATTTTTATGACTTGTGTAATCTTCCGATGTTTTTAATCCAATTTACTGACTTCAATTACGTATCATTCAGATCCCGTAAAATCTTGCACAATGTCCAACATATATCAGTGCGATGAGCCTGCAAACTGGCTTCTCTCATGTTAAATTACTAACATGAGAATAAAGTATTTACTTACTTATTCATCGAAAAGCTAATAACATCCCCGAATAAAGTAGGGATAGCATTAAGGGATAACACAAAGCGACCCGGAAACGAGGCTGGATCTCCAGCTGTGTACGCGCAACCACGCACGGAGACCACATCGGGTCGAATCCCTGTGCCCCCTACCCAGCCCCAGATAACGCCAAGTGCCTAACAAAAGGCCCTCTACGAAGCCCAGATCAAGCATCCTAGCCACCGAGGTTGGAAAACGACCAACAGGAACATGCAACAAACCCGCTGGCAAGTCTTCCGTAGCACTTACAACAGATGCAAGCCACACGAAGGGCCAACTCGACCATCCTGTCCGGCGTCGGTGTATCAACAGACCCACTCTTGACCGGGAGAGAACAGTTTGACAGCCGACTGAGGGCCGACTACTGTCAGATTCTGGGGCTCCCTTCTCTCCCCGTAACATTGTCACCTCTCTAATGGAAGCCGTGCACGTCGAGACAAGCCACCTCCCTACGTGTCCTTGAACACCGCTGATGAGACCGGAGACATCCTTCTTCTGTCGCGCCAGCCAGATGTCAATACTTGCAAAATTCCGGTCAGACCTGACAAGTCACGATCAATAAGAGAGGGGAAGAGAATCAGAGGTCAAGAATCCAAACAGAAACGACACTATAGTTGTACATGGGATCCTAGAAATGCTAGGTAACTACTCGGCTAAAGATTGGTACTCCCACGACATCCAACAGTGGCACTAGCCGCCAGCCGAAGTCGGTCTCGACAATATGCCGGACCATAGCGTCTGTAGACTGCAGAGACCTACGTACCCGAGGTCCATCCATACTCCCATACTCCCCGCCATCCAGCTGGACTCACATATCTCCCTCACAGACGTTCCACACGCATGGAATGATGCGAGAGACTGCGGGGACGGCTCAGTATGCATGTATGGAAGTAAGCCCAGACTCATGACGCCAGAGGAGGGACGGCACCCACCAAGACCTCTGAAGTCGGTGGTTGTCACGCAAGCATGCAGTCACCAGCGAGTCAGATGCATCGAGTAACGAGGCCTCCATTGCTGCAGGCCCCTCGCAAGTTGAAAACAGAGCGGTGCCAGTGGTATGAGGACCGGTGAAGCTAGACCCACCTACATAAGCGCCCCTCTCGCGAAAATGCACAGCCAGCCTTCTACTCTCCCGAGGCACACTCCAACACGTATGTACAGCAACGCTAGGGGCTAAGAGGGGTGGCAGTAGAGATGAGGATGCTGAGTAAACCTCAGCACTCTGATGTAATGTTTGTCACCGAATCCTGGCCATCACCGGACGTCTCCACTGGCATGGAACCGTTCCGCAGGGATAGAAAGCGCTCACAGCAGGAAGTAAAGGGTTTCTCCACGCAAGCTGTCGTTTAAAGGCAGGTGGTTAGCGACACCTCGCTAATCCAGCTCCGAGAATCTTTATGGTGCTACTTCACTCTCCAGTTCACCAAATGCCAGCTCGAAGTCATGTATCGGTCCCCCACTAGCTTCCATACACATCAGTGTCCTCATCTCTACTGCTTCCCCTCTTAGCCCCCCAGCGTTGCTGCACATACGTGTTGGAGTGTGCCTCGGGAGAGTAGAAGGCTGGCTGTGCATTTTCGCAAGAGGGGCGCTTACGTGGGTGGTCATCAAGGCAATCTCAACGGCGTCCTCTGCGGATCATGATTCCGTAAACACTGCTGGCGGCTTCAACGACCCATCCATCCTCCTCGAGATAAAAGGGAGACACATCAGATCCTTCAATCAGAGCCTGAAGGATGCAATTAAGACTGCTTTTTCCTTAGAGAAAGTGAGTGATGCCACACACCGAAGACCCGATGGGAACGCATCGCTCATCGACTGCATTCTGACGAACGATGACCTTACCATTGAGGATGTATGGATCCAACCTCCCCTTGGCCTCAGTGACACGCGGTAAGAACGTTTTCCAAGATTACTATGGTGGCCCTGCAACCAGAGACCCTCAACACCCTCCCTTGCTACGGCAAGGCCACCTACGAAATTATGGGGGGCTATCTTATGATAGTATCATGGCTAGGAGACTGGGCTCATCTCATAATGGACGAACATTGGATACAGATGAAGAAAATAATCGCTGGGGTCATCAGTCGCACTGAACCAGGGTAACACACAGACCGTCAGTAAAAACATCATGGCTAAAGCGCGGGACAGAGGAACTAGCTCAGAGGAAGAAGCGGGCTTGGTTCAAAAGGCTTTCGTTACGCAAGGCGTCTGAATTTTCAAACTACGAAAGGGTTCGTGACAGCTGCTACATAAGTGTGCCGAGCGACAGATATGCCTAGCCAACAAACCTGGAGAGGGGGGTTACAAGGCAACCCCCAAAACCTGTACCACATCACGTCGAAGAAGAAGTCAACCAGCATGCGAGCGGATCCTATCATAGGTCCTTATGGGGGTGTACTAAGCAGTCTAGAGATTGTCGAGCTTCTGAGCTCATACTTTCAAGCCCAACTTAGTGCCGACACCAAATCCACACCGATTCGTTATGATACTGACCAGGCTATAAATAACAAAAACCTCTGTCAAGTCTCAAGGGCAGAGAGAAAAGTATGAGAGAAACTATCTAGGCTACGCCCAGGCAAGTCCCCTGTTTTGCTATAATCTAAAACCGGTAACCCTGAAAAACTGCACTGAGGTACTTGCAAAACCAATCTGCAGCCTCTTCAAGCACTCATCAAAGTCATACGAACTCCCCAAAGAATGGAAGTGCGCCATCTTGTCACCCATTTTTGGGGGAACAAACAGAAAAAGCCCTGGCAGCTACAGGCCGATGGCTCTACTCCATGTAGTACCGGAAGTGTTAGAAAGTCTGGTAGCCGACACTATTGGGGAATTCTCCAACGGGGAACTCACTCTCCCTACTACTGAGCATGAATTTCGGAGTGGTTGCTGATGTCGCATCAGCTTACTAACTGCGTGGGACGACTGCACACTCAGCTAAGACAAGATAACACCGGTACACGTTGCTGCTCTCGATCTGGCCACAGCATTTGACAGTGTCCCACCCACAGTCCTTGTTCACAGGATCATGCCAACCGGTATAAGTGAACCCCTACCCTCCTGGTTCAAGCAGTACCTGGAAGGAAGGCAGTTCTGCGCCAAAGTAAACAGAATAAGGCCGGAGTGGAGATCATCGACGTCAGGAGTATCCCAAGGAGCAATTATGGGATCACTTCTGTTCCTCATGCTTGTTAATGATCTGCCGCACAAAATACCTTCGTCCATCCTCCTCTTCACTTACTACATCAAAATTTGAAGGGTAGTAAACTGCAAAGCACTACAAAAATAACTTGAAGTAACTCGAACTCTGGTCGTCGGAAAATGGCACAGGCTTCAACCTGGAAAAGTGCAAACCAATGCACATCAGTAAATGTGAGACAGGTACGGCCGACATATAGTACATGTTGAGCAACCGTGTCACAGTCATTGTCAACAGAGAAAGATTTGGGGTTCAACTTCCCCATTACCTTGAACACCAGCTCCAACCAAAAATGTATGACGACCGGAAAGAACGCTATTTTGCACTTTCTGGGCAGACGGCTTGGCTCCCTCACCCCTGAGCTTTTCCTCACCGTTTTCAAATCCAACGTACGGCCACACGTAGAGGTCTGCAATACAGTGGCCCTCAAACACTCGAGACAGACTCTGATCTCCTTGAAAAATACAAAAAACTAGGACAAAATCGGTTGTGGGGCTATGGGGTAGGCATATCCTGAAAGACTAAAGCACCTAAACCTATTCGCCTTAGGTTGTTGTAGGAAGAGGGATGATCTTATTGTGGCCTACAAGACTCCCATCGGGCTAACCGCGCAAACAAATTAGGCTTGTCTGAAACAAAGCGGTCATCATGAGGAAACCGCATCAAAATAGCACATCAGACAGCCAATGCCACGCTGAGATCCAGCTTTTTCTCCCCGAGAGCGTGCACTTTACGGAACGCCGTGCGGCAACATATCGTCAAAGCCCCCACAACTGGCCAGACGGTTAGACCCTTTCGACACCTCACATGGTCTACCACGGACGTATTCAGGGAGTCGCCAACCTCACTAACCCACTCTCACCTCCCTTTTACCTATCACTCACTATCTCTCGTCAATACACCTACATTACCTACTAATTCTTCTCTGAAAAATAGACCTACGCTGTCTACTTTTACTCTTCGGGCAACTCCTAGTTACTTTTTGCTTTTATTTCCTTTCTTTTTTCCCTTTTCTTTTCTTTCTTCTTCGTCCACTCTTTATCGCTACCTCACCATTCTCATTCAGGTACCTTCACAGACAGGAGCTACGAAAGTCCCCTGACCTTCAGAGCAACACTTAGCTCCCCGACCACTCTAAAAGCTGCAACTTACTAGCCCACAAAACATCCACCTCACCAAAGGTAAAGGCAAGAAAGCAGAGAGAATTTCCTTGTTCACTGCAAGAGTTAACCAAACAACTGGAACCGAGCCTAGGAACTAGACGTGAGAGATTAAAATGTATCAGTTTATTACGCTGTACTATCGTAATGGATATTTGATCAGTGGCAATGACACCACTCGCTGGGGTATAGGTACATCCAGCTGACGAGTCCTAGATAGGACGAAAAGCGCTCCCTGGACCCCTTTGCTAGTCACAACCAACCAAATAATCAGTTGACTATTTAAACCATTGGAGTTCCTGTTTCTATGGTGCATTGAAGGTCATTATGGCCGTAAGGTTTGATGTGACCAATTTCTCATGAGATTTTTTTGGATAGTTGTTATTTCGAAAGATGCATACACTGTGGTAACCCCCACATCCCTTTTGATTTTTTGAATTCAATATCTTTATCAAAAGATTTTCAAGGCTATTAATAGACGGATTCTTTACAGTATGTCCAATTGTTTCTGTTCTGTAAATCATTTTAGGGACAATGGACTAGACTCAAGTGACATATCCGAACGATAGTCAAAAACGTATCATTTAAATTTAACTGGTAATATTTCTGAATGTCACAGGTGGAGTAATGGATGACGTAACTAAGCCTTCTAACTTCAAATTTTCTGTAAGTATATATTGGTAGTTATGAACAGTTCTAGGTCCAAGGTAATGGTATCAGAAATTATGGTGTCTCATCTAAAGACATTTGCTCAGTCAATCGCTTACCAAGGCACACAGAATCTGCGGTCTCTTATTACAGAACATCGATCAGTTTAGGACCCGTAAGTTGAAACATTTCTCCTTTTGTTGATGTTTGTCTGTGTAAAGTGAGTCCAACACGTTATTTCTGTGTAGTTTCCTAAGTAGTGAGTTCATTTTCAGTAATTTTGGTTGTGATATCCCTTACTACAAGAATACTTAGTAGTGTTAAAGTTCTTACCCCAGATACCACATATCTGATTGTTGTGCAAAGAATCTAGTCAGCTAAATGATCCCTTCTCTCCATCCTTCTCTATTTTGTCTGCATAATACTGCACTAATTCATATGACATATACGCATGACAATAAGGCCGGACTTCTTAAGAATGCTGTATGCCATATGGTCGTAAGTTCGGTCAAATCCATCCCAAGAAATGTATTTTGCATTTGATGGTGGAAACATGAAAGCAATGCAAAGTTCTTCTGACATATTTACAGGTGATGAGAGCATCTGTGTTCAGCAGTAGATCATCACTCTTCCACTTTGATATCAAATATCCAATATTGATAGTGCGAGCGTAGAAAACTGGTAGTTTTTGATCTCTCGCGTCTAGTTCTTAGGGCTTGGTTCCAGTTGTTCGGTTCACTCCTGCAGTGGACGAGGAAATCCCCCCTGCTTTCTTGCTTTTAGCTTCGGTGAGGTGGATGTTTTGTGGGTTAGTAGGTTGTAATTTGTAGAGTGATTAGGGAGCTACGCGTTGCTGGGAAGTTTAGAGAACTGCCGTGACTCCTGCCTGTGTAGGTACCTGAAAGAGAATAGTAAGGTATTGGTAAAGGAATGAAGAGAGAATAAAGGAAAAAATTTTAAAAAAATGAAAGAAAAAAGGAGAGGAAAAAAAATAATAATAATATAGGGAAGAGAGAAGGGAAGGAGAAGAAAGGGAGGGGTGAAAAGAGAACGAAAGAAAAGTATTTGGGAATTGCCCGAATGGTCGCATGGGTTTGGTTCCTACAGAAGAATTAGTAGGTAATGTGGGTGTATTAAGGAGAGATATCACGCATATATCTGGTGACTTAGTCTTGAACATTCTATGGAGTTAACAGGTAATTAACGATTGAACTCGTGAAAGGATAATATAACATGGGGGACAGTTGAACTGCTTAAAGTCCCTTTAAAACAGGACTAAGCGATTTTACGTATTACCACTTGTTGACCAAAAATAGTGCTGATGGTTGTTCTTTTTTAGCTTTAGTAGACTTACTTTTAAACTGCAGTGGCTGTAAGAAGTGAAAGTGTTATAAATGCTATTTATCGTTTCCATATTTCTTTCACTGATGATCTCCATCTTGCCATAGTTTTATTATTTTTATTAAACACTGACGTTTATGTTACACCGAATTATTATTAGGAACTAAACAGGTACCAGGTTTTACTTTAGTTAGTTTGTTTTTTCAAACATTTTGACGACAAACATTTTTGCTTCGTTATGAAAGCTTGAGGTTGCATTTAGTGTGGATGGGTTGACAGTAATAGAATGAAACAGTTGTCACAGCTTTTGTCAATGACCGTAATCTAAGTTTTGGTGGCGAAAAAGTTCAGATAAGCATAAAATAGCACGTTCACTTTGATCAGAATGATAGTGAACTTTTGAAGCTGCATTGTATTTTGATAACCTTACCATATTTGCTCCATACTTCTAGGCTAATAATTCATGATTCTTAAATAATGACTATTTTACTGCTAACAGATGGATATCACTTCGATATTTGTCCTTTTAAAAAAGAAACAAGACAGGAAATGGATCTCGACGGACACATGGAAGCTGATGGAGGAGAGGAGGATGGTGAAACAGAAGATAGATAAACCAGTGCAAGGATGAACAACGAAAAGAAGAACTGAGTGCAGCGTATAAAAGACTGGACAGAGAAGTGAAGAAGAGTGCGCGGAAAGACAAAAGACACTCCTACGACACACTGGCAGGCAAGTGAAGCAGAACAGACTGCTGGTAGGAGAGACGGAGACCTGACAACACTGTATCAAACAGCCAGGTTACTATCTGGAAGGGAAGAGATCAACGCAAACGAAACCAATGAAAGATGGTGAAGGAAAGCTAGTTACCAAAAAGGAGAAACAAAGGAAGCGGTTGGCTGACCACTTCAAAAAAACTCTTGAATTGACCACCACCTGCAACTCGTCCAGGAATATAACCAGCAGCACAGCCACAGAACTACACGTGAACACGAACCCTCCGACAAAAGCGGAAGTCCTGAACGCCATAAAGTTGCTGAAATCCGGCAAAGCAGAAGGAGCAGATGAAATTCTGCTAGAAGCACTGAAAACAGACGCGGAGACAACAGCGTACATGCTCACACCACTATTGCAGAAGGTGTGGAAGGAGGGAAAGGTACCTGTCGGTTGACTAGAAGAAGGGCTACCTTATCAAACTCTCAAAGAGCGGTAACCTGAGTCTTTGCAAGAACTAGCGTGGAGTCATGCTTCTGTCCACCCCAAGCAAAATGCTAAGCCCTATCATCTTAGAGAGACTAAACAATGCTGTGGATTCAAAATTACAACGGGAACAGGGTGGCTGGCTTCAGGAAGAATAAATCATGTGGGAATCAAATTGCAACTCTACGCTACGCATCATCATAGAACAGAGTACAGAATGGTAGTCAACTCTCTACCTCAACTTCATCCACTTTGAGATGGCCTTCGATAGCGTCGACCCAGAAGTAGCTTGAAAACTACTTCAACACTACGGTCTTACTGTCACAAATCTGTATCAACCTCATTCAACACATATATGCTATATGATGAGGCTACATACCGAGTGATCTACAATGGAAAGCTCAGTGATGCCTTTGAAGTGAAGAGATGAGTCAAACAAAGTTGCCACCTACTATCACCGATGATATTTTTGATTAAGGTTGACTGAAATGGACTCGAATGGATGATGCAACAGGCAACTGTGAGGGTGAGAAGAGAGGCACACTCTGTTTGACCAATGAAAAGGCCCTAGAAGATCTGGATTTCGCTGCGGGTGATGATTTATGTCTAATATCTTGTCGCACAAACTCGAAGATCTACAGGCGAAAACTAACAAGTTGGTAGAAGAGGCAGGGCGGTGAAGACGGGACTTCAGGTGGGTGTAGAGAAGACAGAGGTGATGAAAATACTCAACCGTGAACAACAACAACAACAACATTAAAAACAATACAACAAGTACCAAAGATCATCAACTGGAGAAGCCTAAAGGAAGTAGTCTCTTTCACCTACGTGGACAAGGCAGCGTCGTTTCAACTACAGGTGGTGGTGGTGGCAAAGATGAGGATGTTAAAGCAGCCAGGATGGGAAAGACAGCAAGACACGCCTTCGTTCATTAATCTGAAATCAGTGTGGAGATCTACTGTACTGAGCATAAAGCGTGAATAAGATCCGGATTTTCAGCATTCATGTCAAGTAAGTCAGTGCTCTTATATGATGGTTGGGAGACTTGGAGGGTTACGGAAAGCATTTCTAACAAACTACAGACATAGATCAACAGCTGTTGCCTACGCTCACTTGATACTGAAGATCAGATAAATGGCCAGAATAATAAGAATAAGCGACGAGAAACTCACTCTAGTCTGGCAACAAACCAACCAAGAATAAATTACCCAACAAATATGGAGAAGGAAGTGGAGATGGATGGGATTGGACGTACACAGAGAAGACCATTTGGTGACATCGTGTGTCAGGCCATGAAGTGGAACTCCTAGGGAAACGACGAGTTGGGTGTCCGGGACGAGGGTGACATGGAGGATATCATGTGAGGAAGAAATGGGAGTTTGTGGGCAGTCGTGGGGCGAGATTGAAAAGACTGCAGATAAGAGAGTGAAATAAAGACATGCTACTGAAACCCTGTGTTCCACTGGGAACCCAAGAGAAAAATAATAAATAATAATGACAAATTTGTTTTTCAGGCCGACTCCTTGGAATGCAGGTTATGTTTGAATTTATGCCTAGCATTACTGAATTTTGACTAGCATTCTCTAGGTATATCCACTTTTCTTTTCCACCGATTATTTTCACACTTTTATTACATGGCTTGTCTTTAGTGTTTTTCGCATAGATGTATTAGTATTAGTTTTAGCTACTGATTTCTCCGTGGTAATCTTATCCACCATTTCCTACAAGTGAACGTCTTTCAGTCGCTTTTATTTGTCACATTATTAGTAGAAGCTAACTAGGAATACGATAAAAATTGTTAAAATGTCAGTTGTCTTGTGCTTTTAATTTTCTAGAGTTATTTTTAGTCAGATTGTTGAATCGATTAGAAATTTCGTCAAGAACTGAGAAACAATATTGTTGTCGGAAAGGGAGATACACATTCTCGAGTTATTGGTTTGTGAACTCATGGTGTTGGAGAAGTACGCAGCCGTTCATATATGTTTGTCTCCTGTAATGTCTCATAGTTTCATATGTTACTGCAGCGTGCTTTGTGTAAAATAATTCATGTGAAAGTACTTCATGCATTTTGGTCTATGCAATCCATGCGTTCTACATAGGAACTTTAATCATATGTGTCACGTCCAAACATGGCACACGGGTAACTTTAATAGTAAATCTAAATAAGTTATTTATACCAATTTCCTGGGTGTGCACTTCTAGCATTCGGTTATACTCAGCTCATACTTTCGAATATGAGCAAGAAAGGTAGGTGTATTTTTAGGCAGTATTCTTCATAGAAATTAGTTTATTTATTCATTTGATTCAAAATAACGTTACGCTCCTTTGTTATGTCAGTTTGTTCTACGGTGTATTCCTATCAAAATAAGATAGTGAATACCATATATTACAGCATTATGAAAAGTCTTTTTGGCACAGCTATCTGGTTTCAACTTTAAACGGAATTTATCGTCCGTGGTTTGGATGACTACTCGATAACCCATCTGCATCAATTTTCAAACCATCATATGCTTCATATTGAATACTAAGTTTTCTTGGGGTGAACCTCGCCTTACTATTTTCACTGTCATTATAATTACGTAGTGATGTCATTCAACGTTATCAATCTGCTTATGGGAGTTCAACCATCATATTTTGTTTGAGAATGTTTGTTATAATACTGTTAACAATTCTAAAATCGGCCAACCAGCTATTCTTTAGCGTTTTAAAGCATTTGAACAAGGTTACTTGGTAGCGCAGCATTAAACTTATAAAGGCAGAGACCATTTTCCAAACACTATCTTCCTAGCCTGACTTATTATTCATCTTAATTTCGGATTTACACATATGTGTGTATAGCAACTTACCAGCTAATTTGACCGTGGAATAATCTTCTGGTGGTTACTTTGATAGCTATTTTTAAGGTGTGTTTAACCACTTAGTGTTCCAAACAAAATGAAGTCAACTGTTTTAAAGTGATTTAAAAGATCTATGTTGGAATGTGAAGTAAGTGATTATTCTCTTTCTATTACTGAAATCTATCCGTTAAATGTCTTTGATAATCATTCTACAAGGTATACACTCACTTTTCTTATGAGGTTTTTGAATGAATATTTCCATTCTCAGTTCATAATCGGAACAGATAACTTCAGTTTTCTGCCCTTATCTCATGTGCCTTTTTTGATATATCTTGCCTACAAATAGCGTAAGCTACGATAAATGCTGTATATGTCCTTCAATATGCAAGTTTGATTACCTTCATTTGTAATTTGAGACTGAGTGTTGCAATAAGCTTTTTTTGCTGCCTGTTATTTTTTCAGAAATCAGGTTCCTCCCTATGGAATCATTGTCCACCAAGTCCCGGTGGGAATGGAAATGACAGGCCAAATAACTTGAATAGTCGTTTCTTAAAACTTGAACTTAATGAAAACAATGAGACGAATCAGAAGTTGTGCAATGGATATCATATAAACTGTAATTCTACTGATAGTCTGAAGTCGTTAGATAAACGGGGATCTTCAGAAACAGACAACAGAGGCAACAACAGCACTTCTTTATGCTGGCCCAATTCTTCATTAGCTAGTCCTTCGCATACATCAGTTACTTTACCAGTTGGCACCAACCACTCATACCACAGAGGTGGGCTTGTGGGGCTCAACAATCTTGGAAACACTGTAAGTTTCAACAAATACTTTGAAAAAAGGACGTTTTCCGGTATCACTTCATGAATTATTGTAATGTTTTGGTCCGGTTGTTGTCTTTTGCTGCTGGTTCTTTGTAACTAGGTAATTTTTAGAAACACCTAAAGGATTAATTTAGGTGGCGAGATTTCAAATTTTTGTTGGAAAAATCCGTCACCTGGTTTCACATCATGTTCATGTGACTTGAAAGGATGGTACTATTTTTAAAGTGATTGAATGATGTGTGATGAAAAAATTGCGAACATACAAAGAATTCACCCACTGCTTCAGCTTATTGTGTGAACATATTAGCAAATTTTTAAGGAAGCATGCTTTCAACCAGGGTTATTGAATGCAGAGGTCTCTGAATACAATTCCATTAAATTGAATAGATATTGATATAATTGCGTTTTATGTGCAGCAGTCGGTTGATATCGAAGTCGAAATTCAGTCATTAACCTTGAGCAAATTCCTGCAGTCGGTAGTGAGCCACACCTATTGCATAGAGAGTGATGATACTAACTGGCTGTCCAAACCTTGGTAGGTGGAGTGCTATTCAAACCCGTGATTCGGTTGAAAGCCAACCTCACTTACGCATACAACGTATGTTTAAGAGGTTTTACTATTGTACAGCATAAAGTTATTCAACCTTCTTCCATCACATTTGTTGTTAAATGGAGTATTTGAACCTTAGTTGCATTAAATGTTAGGGTCTGTCATCCCTAACAGTTAATCACATTGGTGAATCACATATTACTAATTGAAACAGAAGGTAACAGAATGTCTGAAGTATAAGACAGAAACTCTGGTCGCACTTAAGTTGGTGTTGTAAAACACCGGATGGATGAAAACAGTTACAATGTTATCCGTTGAACTACTGGCAGACATTATAGTTTATTTTAATTTAAGGGTGAATTCTAAGTAAATTAAAGGTGAAGCCAAAAGAAAACGTTTTCATTAGTTTGTTCGAATCATTGACAGGGAGAAACAAGTATTGGAGAAATTTTTCATTGGCTTTACTTTTGCGAGTGTTTAGTGGTTCAGAAGACTAGCGCGTATCTCTAGTATAGTTATACAGTGGGCACCTTCAACCGAATTTTATGTTTCATAGGTATTATGGGAACTATAAGTAATTTTTCGATGTAGAAGAGCTCAAAAGATAACTGATTAACAACAAAGTATATAGCTTGGTCTTTGAAAGCTGATTATCTTCATTTTGGATGAAATACTGATAAGCAGTCTTTGATCAGCAGCCATTGTAAGTCACTGGTTTTGCTGTTAAAACGGTTTGTTTCTCTCATGAATTGAATTTGTTTACAGCTAACATGTCATATGGTAGGTGAATTTACTATAATAATGATCTGTTCAAACTGTACTGATCGTTTTTAGCCTTTAGAAATCTATTGCGTTTCAAAGATAACCTGAATTGCTTTTAAGAAATAAATCGATCTAGTCTCGTCATAGTAGTGTACCTCTTTAATTGTTTTGGTGCCAAAATAATTTTTTGAAGTTAAACAACTAGTAGCCTTATTCTTAAGCAGCTTCAATAAATACAAATAAACTTCACTATAGACTAGGTATGATACTATGATTTGGTTTATTTGGAAAGTCGTAATCCAACCACATCCTTTTACTTGTCATCTATGAGCAGGGTAAACCTATCGGACATATTAGTGGTACAATATACCTTAGGCTTGATTTCCTCTTTGCAAATATACTATTAAATTTCTGTAGGAGAATACTGCTTTGCTGCCTTGAAACAATGAATATATAATATATCTATCGATTAATATGTTCATACTATACTTATTCCGTAGGTGTTAATCTCAGTAAATTTAGATACCATCCTGGAAACAAATGAATCCATGGTAAACTTAGTGGCATTTGTTTTGAAGAGTTGTATTACTAGGAACGTATTTAGTACATTTATAATTACAAGGGTGTTTTTTATCCCTGAATGAATTCTTGTTCTCATAAGTACTCTGTTTTGTCAAAAGCACTGTTAAATATATTTTGTTTTCGCTCGTTTTGTAGTGTTTTATGAATTCAATTCTTCAGTGCCTGAGTAATACAGCTCCACTTACTGAGTATTGTTTGGAGGATCGATATCTGAAGGATATCAATAAATCAAGTTCCATGAATGGCATGTTATTTCGATGTAAGTAGAATATGAATTTTATGCGCATGCCCAAATAATTCGCTGTTCTTTCCACGTATGTTATTGTCTATAAGAATTTATTTAGAAAACTGTGACATCTTACAGTTATGCTTTGAGGGTGATAGCTGGCATCATATCTTTAGTGAATCGAAGAATTAAGGTAGGCGAGTCCTAAGGATTTTTAAAGAAATTTAAAGGTGTAGATTGGAAAGTTAGTTCTAGTTCAAGTAATACTTCAACTGTGATTTGTTGGTCATCTGAAAAACAGATTTTTTCTCTTAATGTATTTGAGTGAAATAACTTTCCATGTTGTCGAGAATTTATTAAATCCCCTACGCTCTTCACTTGTGCAGCGTATGCCGATTTGATGAAAGAACTTTGGGATCCTGATATGGTCAATTCTTCTACTAGTCCCAGTCGTTTCAAAAGTCAAATTCAACGATTCGCTCCTCGTTTCATGGGATATTCGTAAGTGGATTTACTATTAACCATATTTGTTATTGATAAAGAAATGAGTGATATGTCATATAAAGCCTTCTATATTATGATTAATGTACCATAACTAATCACAAAGTATGTTTAATTTCAACATCGTTAGAGGAAGTAGAAATTGTTATGAAGAGGATATGTAAGTTATAGATATAGCCAGAATAAAATGATATTACTTAATTTAAATGGTTCATGAGTTCTTTGCAGCGTTATTTCCACACAGCTCAATGCAGTCTTTAATTATGGGCAAAATGTCGGAGTATTTTGTTTTACACGACCAAATATTACGATCATGTAGTGGAAATAATGACAAAACTGAGATTTTAATAAATTGTGAGTGCAAAAGACGGATACTATGACAATATCTATGAGTTTCCTGGGTCGACTTATTGGATATGGGTACCGTGTACTGTACTCCAAATTTGACTCCAATATCCTGTTGTAAATTTTTTTCACTGGAGTTGAGAAGCCGATATGTTTACCCTTTTTTTGATGTAGTGAGTTGAAATCTGAATGTGCTGTGATTTTGTGCTTCTGTTTTATATTATTACGGTGAAAAGTCATTAAAACTTGCTCATAACTGAGGTATCTACTTGGTTAGAGCAAAAAGAACCATCTTTTTGAAGACTGAAATAATATCTACTCTCTTGGTTGTATTGTGTTCTCTAAGCTGAGGTGTTAAGTTGTGGAGCTTTCATCGTCTTTCCAAACGACATCTTCAGGACTGATGAGCCATTTGTTTTTGCCAGTTTGATTTTCATTCGGTAACAGATGGGGTTCGAAAGGTGTTTTACTATCCTGTGTGACTAACATTGTTTGTAATTCTTTGTAATTTGCTAGTTCGATGGAGGCAATTGGAAGGCAGCCCTAGACACATGTTTTGTGCTTATTGGCACACTTCAACAAGATCTATCTGCAAACTCGACGGGACTGATGCCCCGCATCACCCAGTGTTGTAGTTAGTGGTGTTACCAGTGAGCTATTCAGGCTGCGACGAACATCCCGTAGGACTGGACTAGATACATTGATTGGTCACTGAAGAGTAACCAATATATCTGATCCGGTCCTTCAGGAGGTCCGTCGCAGTCCGAATAGCTCAGTGGTAACGTCGCTAACTACAATACTGGGAGATGGGGGTCCGAATCTCAGGCGGAACATCAGTTTTGTTGGGTTTGGACATACGCCTTGCTGACGAGTGCCAATAAGTACGAAACGTAAGTCCAGGGCTTCCTACTGATTGCCTCCATGAAACTAACATCTATCAGAGTGCATGGCGATGCTGAGCTGCCTAGTCTGGTGGCCAAATTGTAAAATGATCGATAGAGTTCAATAAGTACATAGGATCAGACAACATGAAGTTGGTTTCCCTCCAGTGACCAATCAATGTATCTTTGTATTTTGGCTTATTAAAACAATTTTCCACGACCACTTCACATAGAAATTTCTATTTGTACTAATAAATATCACTTCTACAGTCAGTTTTATTCAGGCTTATTCACGAAAACCCGTTAGTGTAAAAACTATTGACATAACTATCTGCTCTCACCTATTTAGCATTATAAGATTATTATTTAAAGTTTGATTGTGTTTGAAACAAGACTTCCTAGTTTTCGTATTATCATTTGAACTAACAGTGGATATAAGTTCTTTTTAACCTCAACTCATATTTAGAATATTAACTTGAGTTGTATATAGTCTCGTCTTCTGTACTCTTAGTACCTCAATTTTGCATGATACCAGTATTTTGGAGAAAATTCCAAAGTTATCTCACAAGATCATTCCAATTTACCATCACATATCTTAGTTTTCTTCGATCATTTGTCCCTCTTACGTACACAAGAAATTTAATTCTTACACCGATGTTTCAAGCCAGTAAGATATGGACACCTGACACTGAACGATGAAATAAGAATAATAGAGAACTCCTTATACGCGAATGGCTATCCTGAAAAGTTGGTAGGGGCTGTAATAATGAAAGCAGCTGGAGAAAAGCGTCTTCAAATGGTGCAGAAGAAGCTGTTGTGTCTAACCTTAGCGTTCAAAAGAGATGCAGCTGCAGAAACATTGACACTGAATCTGAGAAATCTGATACAAAAAACCTTCTTTGCCGCCACACTATGTTTGAAATTTATTACTCATTTTGTGATGCCAATACAGTTGAAGGATAAGCTTCTGAATCTGGTCACGTCTAACTGCCCCTGTTACGTAGGTAGAACAATTCGGCAAGCCTATCATTGCTTCACTAAACACTGTCCAGCGTGGTTAGACAAAGGAATAGTGAAATCCATCAGAAGCTCAATATGCACCAATCCAGTAGATACTGAGTATAAGATTGTCAAAACCTCAGAATTTACTATCATTTACAGAGTATCATCACAATACTCTAAGTTTGTGCGCCTCCGATTGCTAACCATAGCAGAAGCCATAGCAGTTAAAATTTTCAAACCTAATTTGTGTATTCAGATGTTTGTTCGTTCTCTTCCTGTTCCATGGTGTTCAACTTCAACCCAGATAAAATTACAATAATTCCCTTCCCGGTCACCCGGTCTGTTTGTACTCTTATCATTATCATTTTATTTTTCACCCCAATTTTCATAATTAGCTAGGAATTTTAACACTTAATTGTATAATTGCTATGTGACAATAATTCTATATTTCCCTGTATCCCTACACAGACACACAATTCCCTCACACACCAATGATGGACGACTGAGAATATACAAACTTTCCAAGATTTTGTCTTTGTTATTATCACCTTTATTGTTATCTTCTAATTCGTATATTCGAAGTAATTTAACCATTTTGGTATCAAGTGACTATGCTGAATAATTTGTAAATGTAAAGCCTGATGAGAATTTACCCAAACTGAGTATTCGCTTCAAACTCTGTTTTCGAATTATGTATATCAGAGTACTAATAAAAATGATTTTTTCCATTGTTCTTTTGTTGAGAGGATTCTAAGTTTATAGCACATTAGTTTGAACTATATTTTGAAGTTTTTATTGCATCCTTCGCTTATCTGACTTATAATTTGATTAGGTGGTGGATATTTTTCGCATACTTGTTTTAGAGATAATATTAACAAAAGTTCTTAACTGTCGGTTTCGGTTGTCACAATGACCCCAACTTGGAAATCTCTGTTTCTCTACGTGGCTCAGACCATCAGTCAAAGATTTTTTGGAGTAGTGCCATGTTTTATTCAGAACACTCATAGACTATTCGGTGCATGTAACATATGTCCAGACTATTTCAATCGTTGAAGGTGTGCAACCTTAGCTTACCTTTTTTACCGAAGCTTAACACTTACCTTCTTTTTGGTTCAGGAATATGTGACCAGTGCCATAAAGTCAACAATGGTCGAAAACCTAGAACCTTCTAATGTCTTTTATCTATAGTTGACACTTTTCACAGTCTTGTGGATGTATGGAATGAACTGCTACTTAGTACACTCAATTGTTTACACAGTTGGATAACTCACCGACAGCACATGGGGAACGTAAATGTTTCATGCGATGGAAAGTGATGCTGTTCAACACAATTTGAAGCTTGTGTTTTTGTGTGTAGAATAATGAGTTTACTGATATCATCAAATGTTTTCCATCCATACAGGGAGATTTTTTGTAAATCTACATACACTTTCAGATCGACAGAGTTGACATATCCCTGGAAAGGGACCTTTTGTAATTTGATATTATCAGTTAAGTTTCCGCTGTTCATCTTTCTAATATCTAAGCAGTGAGTCACTCGTAGATCTTACAGAAATTGTTTCTTTCGAATCACCAAATAAAAGTTTGATAGTCATCTACTTCAGTAGAATATAAATCTTTTGGTTCTTTTGTGTTCTCCGAGGTGGATCGTTTAGTCGTGATGCTTTCATCGTCTTGTTGGATGACTTCATCAGCATTAACTCCAGTATGAAGTGAGCTGTCAGTATCTTTCCTTGAGTGATTCAGTAGCTTGCCCTAACAAACTGGTTTGTAATCGGTTGTTTCCTCTGATCGTGGTGTCAATGACTGCATAGATTTTCTTGTTGGCTGTTCTTATGTTTGACCTGTGACCTTTCTGTTGTTTGTCATTTTTGTTATTGGTTGATAGATTGGGTGTATGTCTATACATTTATTGATTGCTGACTGATGTGAATATCAAGTTTCTATGACTTGTTTGCTATTCTTAATGTTTCCTCTTTCTAAGATCTGTGCATTGTCAAAATTGAATTTATGTCCATAGTTGTAATTGAGGTGCTTTGAAATGAGTGATGAAATGTCGTGACGTTTAGTGGGTAATCGGTGTTTATATAGACGGAGGGTGAGTGGGCAGCCACTTTGTCCAATGTAGTGTTGACTACAGTTATTACAGCCGATTTTGTAAATGATATTTAGTTTATCTTCTTTGGCTGTTGCGTCTTTTGGTCTCCATAATATGGCTTGAAGGGAATTTGTTTGTTTATCAGATACATCAATTCCAAGTGTTCTCAGTAATCTTATCGTGATTTCTGATATATCCTTTACGTACAGTAGGATGATGCGTCTTCTGATTTGTGTTGATGTTGTACGGAATAAGGATCTTCTGATAAATTTTCATGGGTACCCGTTCTTCTTTAGGGTAGACAGAGTAATTTTCTTCATTTCTCTGTGAAGTTGTTGTACTGCAGTGTGTTCTCGCTCTTTTGGATAGAGTCTACAGGAAACTAATTTTCTGCTCTCATTTCAAAGCACGTGGTTAACAACTGTGGACACGAATTCAATTTTGACAATGTACAAATCTTGGAAAGAGAAAACACTAAGAATACCAGGAATCGAACTCAGGACCTTCAAATTCCGTAGCCAGCACGTTACTGTTGAGTTACCGGGTCGGAATCCAATGGTCCAAATAATTTCCTACTTCTGTCATGGTGGGGTCATGGGTGAGCACTACTGAGGAGACCCATAATAGAACGAAACAACTGTCCAATGCTCCCAGGCTTCCAATGTTCCTGTAACTGATGTCAGTCCATAATGAATTCCAACCTAAAACCAATTAACAAACCTCTACAAACCTCCGGATAGAAATAATGTAAGAACCGAGAAAGTTCTTCAAATCCCTAATATCTATCACAAGGCTGAACAGAAGATAACAGTGACTGTATACAAATAATTTAAAAATCAATTTAATACAAAAATATTTTATGTCAAAATATTATATCATGAAACCTTAATTCACAGAAATCACAAAACAAATCCATGCCCCTGTAGGTCTGTCTTTAGAAAAAACACCTGAAGTAGACTCGATGAATAGGCTTTAAATTAAATCAATTTGTTTATGATTAAAGTGTGTTCTAGTAGTGAAAGCAAAGTCAGATATAAAGAATGTAAATGGCTAACGTTAGCATTTAATACTTTTGAAGTTGCACAATGCACCAACAAAATTTTCTAAGTAATTATACAAATCATGCATTTGTCTTTGTTATTTTGCTATTTGAATGATGATAGTTTTCCCCTTCTATCATCCAGTAATATGGTAAAAGAAAGAATATACGATAACCAATAAACATAATACTCGTTATCCACAACAAAATACAGTATAAATATTATATTTAATTATTAGAAAGCTAACTGATAATTCACTTGACAGAACTACTCATTAATCTTCCGCATTTAAGTCACCATTCACCTCAGGATTGATTTCCCACTCTCTTCCTTTTTTAACTGATCTGTGCTGCCAGGTTTCCTCCAACTGATATCAGTTCATAATGAATTCCAACCTGAAATCTTACATTATTTATAAAAATAAATTTTATTCAAAGAAAGATTTAAAGCATTTTTAAAGATGGTTGAATAGGAGAAACTTCCTGCTAAAAGCTGCCTCAATGTCAGATATAATTTTTCCCGACTGATTTCAATCTGACATAAAGAAATACTTACTCCCTTTAGGTTAAAAGGTATACAAGACAAATTAACCACAATACTTATGTAGAGGCAATTATCAAAAAAGCTATCATTTACAGTATTCAGGTAAATAAATATCTATACTACGTGATAATTGAAGATGAAATGAAAATCTGAACCGTGGCCGGATTCGAACCAGCGACCATCGGGTTTCCAGCCGGATGCTCTACTAACAGAACTAAGAGATCCGACCGAGGTCCAAATTATCACTTCACTTTCAATCATCACTCAGTATAAATACTAGTGTGCCGAACCATGATTATCTAAAATGGTCAAACTGATAAAGAAATATCTATTTTGATTAGAATAGAGCAGCTATTTCAAATGGTCATTAGATGAAGAGTTGGTGAAATCTACAGAGTGACAAACCGTCGGTTTGTCTTGTTTTAAGATTCGTCAATATTATTGGACTTCTGTTCAGATTTCAAATCTGTTACTCTATCATTCTTAGAGGTCTTTTTAATAACTTTATTTTATGATGAAACTTATCTTCAAAATGATTGAATAATTAAAGCTACTTAGATGGATTAGTTCTTAATTTTAACATTCTGTTTTAACCTGTAAAGTCTTACTGATGTTAAATTTTATCATATTAATTGTGCACTGTGTACATCATTAGTAACATATTATAAATTTTCTAGTCAACAGGATTCACAAGAATTTCTACGATATGTTCTGGAAGGTTTACATATGGAAGTGAATCGCGTTCAAAAACGTCCACATCCAATCAAACCAGATTATGAAGCTGAAGATCGCCTTCCGTAAGCTGCATTTTTAGTATGGTATTTATTTACCAATTGCATACACTTTGAAGATATTTAATAATTAAATAGGATAGATGAAATGGGTTTTCTTTTGCTTTAATGTGTATTTTACTAGTTGAATGAACTTTAGTTGACTGATGTTTTTATATAATTGTATTTCAATTCACCACAGATATATCTAATCATTCACACTGTCCTGAGCATAGAAAATTAACTGAAATGAAATTGATATTTCTAAACGATATAAGAAACCTAAAGTAAATTCAGTTATTGGGATGTATGTAGACATAAACATTTATGCAACAGAAGCAGACAGACTTATGAAACACCAAGTCAATAAGAAATAAAAGAATTAAGTTGATGGATTTCATCTGTTACTATGTATTATTGAAGTGATTCCTTTCACCTTCCACTATTTCCGTTAGTTATACTTCTCTGGAAGTCAATGAACAGACGAAACAATAATAATAAAAGTCAGTAGAGTTTTTTTAAAAGTGTCCCTCTTGATAAGTGAGGAATTGTGTTAAAATCCCTAGCCAGTAAGTGCCATTGTGAAGTCTAATGTGACAGTCAGCCTAGGATAAAATGGCAATATTTGATAGTTCATTTCTTGGCTTTGTTAATATTTCGCTTTACTGCATGTACAGTTTGTTACCTATAACTTCGTCGGCGACCAAACCATGGGAGATATTGTGGAATACCAGATAAATTTATTCTTTGATTACTTATTTGAGATATGTAGGCTTTGTAGTTACATCCCATGAGACGACCAAAGTAGATGTTAAGAAACCCTAGGTGAAAACCGGAAGGCAATAACAGTAGAGCAGATAAATTCATTCCTTAACTTATTCTATAATGTCATATGTTATTGTTCGTGTAGATTTCCTTCCTCTTTGCCCTGTTGATTCAAGGGAATACCAAGAATACTATGTCCATTATTTCTTCTCTTTTCTTTGTAACTTCCATATTTATATGCTGATGTGATAAATTAAGCTGTCAGACAGTAGTGTAAAGTCGTGTTTTTAAAAATGTTTGTTTGTTTGTCTGTTTGATTTATATCTACAACCACTTTATTCTGTATTCCTAAATTAGGCTTAGGTTCAAACTAGTTTTAAGATATCGTTTATTACTTTACATACTCATAACGCATGCTAAGGATTTTTTAGTTTGGAGGTTTGTGGGGATTGGTTGATTTCAGAGTATCTTTTACTGTGGACTGATTTCGGTTGGACAACTATCGAAAACCTGGCAGCACTCCACACCTATGACCATGCCGGGGATTTAATACTCATTACTGACATATTTTGAGATGAGATGTCCTGAAGTTTCAATGGGAGGTTGTGATCTATGAAACTAACTAAGTCAGACATGAAGACGAATACTCAACACTGGCTTTGAATGATTGTCACACTGTATCGCAAATTGACGGCAGTAAGAAAATGTGAACCACTGAACTCTGACTCAGTGGCTGAATGGTTAACGTGCCCGTCGCAAGACCTGACAGTCCGTGGTTCAATGTCTGGTGGGTTCGTGGGTGCACTCTACCGATGATTCCCGTATTAGGACTAAACAGATGTCCAGTGCTCCCAGTTTTTCAGTGGTTCTACAAGTGATATGACTTTGTGGTCAGTTCTCAAAATTCAAAGTGTTTTACTGTTTGAGTTATTTCTTCCCTACTTATATTCTTCTTACGCTGTTTTTTCTTTTGCAAAATGTAGAGATCCGAACCAATAAATGCTCATTTGAAGTGCTGCTTTAATGTCTCTGTTTGTAATATCGGATTTAGTTTCTCACTTAAATAGTAAAGTATGGAACTATGAAGAGTGTTAATCATTTGCTGTATGGATAAATTATATTCTATTTCATCGATATCGCTAATTGCCATAATTTCATATCTTTCATTGTCTTTACTGATCGCCATTGGTTACATCTATGAAAATAGTGAACATGTATCTTCACAGTTTTAAATAATTTCATTGCCCTTCATCCATATATTCTTTGTCCTCTTGTACACTTTATCCCTTCAATATCACCCTTTTTCTGTCCACTTCTTATTTACATTCTGATTTGAAGTATGGTAGCTTGAGCTGATGCGCTTCTCTGTCAGATTCTTCATTTATTTATGACTTTCACCGGTGCATAGCAAAGATATCCCGTTCAAAAGTGTAGTATAATGTCATTCTGAAGGAAATCTACTGTGGACTGAACTCATTTCTAAAATGTACACGAATTAACCAAAACTAACGAGGTATTCTAAAATTTACCTACTCTTGTAGAGCAAGATACATAGGTTGTTCGATATGACTGTACATCAAGTAGTCACTACAAGGACATAACACCTGATTATTAGTTTAGTCTTGCAGCTCAATCGATAGGACTTCAGTTCCCTAACCGAGCAACCACTTATCCGAACCTTACCATCAACCAAGTATTTTTTTCAATTCAGTAGCAACTACAAAATAAAATCAATACTTTAAATTAATTCATTCATTTCACCCTATTTTAAAGACGCTCTACTTTTGAACAACCTATTAAATTACCTACAATACCACCGAAAATAGTCATATGATGTAAAAGTGAGTTATATTAAAATAGAAAAATGGCAACAACTAATCCATACTCACAGATATAAAACATATGAGTGCTAGTAATTTTAAAATAAAAGTTGTACGCTTCCTATGTCCTGAACTGTGCATCTCATTTCAGTCTCAAGTGTTGCAGTTCAGGTTTATCAGTTCCAGTTATTGCTTTTAAAGATTGATACGCATGAGTGACAGAGTGAATCTCTCTCTCTCTATGTATATATATATATATATATATATATATATATATATATATATATATATATATATATATATATATATACAAAGTAAGGCTAGCGATATCTGTCCACTAGTTTCTAAGTGCCTACACGTGTGTACGTGTGTGTATACGTGGTCATCAACATCCTGACGTCTATCAGCCGTATTGTCCTATTAGCGCTACAACTAACAGATACAATACTGTCTGAATGGGCGGCATCCTATAACTAATTGTTAGCAATTTGTTTACAACCAGAAATATTACTATTAATGGACATATTTTACAGTTCAGTTTAAAGTATTGTACAAAACTTTCAAAATATTATGCAATGTTTCGTTTTCCTCATCATTTCACATATAGTTTTCCAGTGAACTAACTACTCTATAAATGAGCATCGTTTCAGCGTAATCCGTTTTTTCAGTTCAATTCACTTGATAACATTATATGACGGTAAATTTGTTGTTTAGTATCACATTACACGATTCAAGTTGAACAGAAGAACAAGGTTATTATTACACTAACTTTTTGGATAAACAATATCAGTGAGTTCAACATATAAAAAAGGGACAGCATCATATTGATTATCATTTTGACTATCTAAGATAGCCGTAGTTTGGCAGACTAGTATTGATATTGGGTGGTGATTAAAGGTAGGATGAACATTTGGATTCGAACCAGTGACCACCGAGTTCGAACCCGGCTGCGGTCCAAATTTTCATCTTACCTTGAATCATCACCCAGCACATAAAAAGGGGTTAATATCAACCAAATGAAACATTTCTTTACTTGTTCTTGTTCTCAACTTGAATATCACAGTAGTAATGATCATTGTCTGCAGTGATGAGTAATAGAGATTCAAGATGAAGAGACAATAGGAGTGTCTGATAGATTATAGATACACCTTTTTAGTCATTAACTAGAAACCGTGGAAAGTAATTGCATAGCTTTCTAAATACATTCACTAACCCATTTTAGTTTATTTATTAAAACTACCAAACAGTGAAACAGTATTACTTACTCGAAAACATCTCGAACATAATTTATTTTTCATATTCGTATTAAGTTGCCACACTTCACAGTAATATACAAAGAACAACTGGATAGAAAAAGACTGATATCAAAGTGGATAAAAGAGGGAATTTTAAAACCGTGGTTTTTGAAAATGTGAAGGAGTGAATATATCTGCGCCACTGTGACCGCTTTTCAGCCATGTAACCTAGAGTCTTCAACCACTGATTCCTTTCGTTTCGGGGACCCCAGCCAGACAGTCTATATCTTCCATGCGGCTCAGACCAATAGTAAGAGACTTCATCGTCTTGCTCTGACCACTCAATCTAATCTGACTTCCCCTAGCATAGCATGTTGAGCTAGGCGGTGGGTTCGGAATGCACAGTACATATCAAAGCCACTTCAGTCGATGAAGGTTCACAACTTCATTAATCGGCTGGCTTATCTTTCCCAGTACCCTTCGTCTGACTTCAACACTACTCACATGGTGATTCCACCAAACATATAAGAAAAATAACTGGTAGAAAATGATTTACAGTGAAAACTACCCAGCCGAACTACCAATTTATTTTCATTAAGTGTTTAGTGTATTACTCCTTTCATTACAGACTCAGAATCACACACAGACAAATAAGGCAAAAGAAAAGTGTTCCAAACTCTATGCAAAACTAAACATCCCAAACTGAATGTGGATGATATACGTAATATGAGACAAAGATTGTATTCTAAATTCTACTGTTAGTCGCGATTAAACAACCGAATACAATTGATGATATTATCCATACTTCGTTTAAACGTTCGACACATCGATAGAAGCTAATCAACCTGATCCTTTAGATGAAGAGTAAAAAATTATATCTTTTGATAACTATCATTTCAGTAAGAATAGATTTATTTTCTCTAAGTTAAAACCCATTTTCTGTAATCTCACATAACTGTAGAAAAATCCAGGCTGGCTGTCAATTGTGAAGTCACACGGTTTGTTTAAGAAACTCTATTTTCAAAGCTGAATCCTGTCATTGGGTTTAGTCTGGGATTTGAATGTTGAAAACTAAGATATGAAGTAAACAGTGCAGCCTTTGGCGATAGAAAACTGGCTTGAGTAGTTACCAATGGTCACAAGCTAATAAGTTGGGGACACTTTAAAAAGGTGTCATACTGATAACACGAAACTACCATGCAGCCAA